AATATAATAATAAATTTAATTCAATAATATAATCAAACAAAAAACACTGAAATTTGAAATATAGCGCCAAGTTCGCACATCACTAATTGTAGTTGCAAATTCGTTTTCAGTGTCTGATGAGAAATTTCCCCCACGAATCATTATCACTCAATTCTGCAAGTGGTTCTGATTTCCTATCGCTGTTCTCTAGCCGGTCTAAAACCACTTTTGACCTAAAGGGACGCTTTTTGGACGTTTCTCACTTTCCAGGCAGAAAGAACAGTAAAAATGCAGGCAGGGCGCCGGACAAAGCACGCGGGACAAAATGTATGTGAAATGGTTTGATACAGGAATGTTATACTATGTGATTTTAGTGTATTTAGTGAATGTCATCTTTTTACATTTTTAAATTTCCCGCCAGTTCCGCCCCCCTTACGTCTCGACATCGCAGGGAATGGAACCTGGAAGATGCTGCAGGGGGGACACCGCGGGAGCGAAGGATAAGGTAAGTGCAGAAGGGATCCCGGAGCAATGCTGCAGTGTATTCCGAGTGTAGCTCGGGGGGGGTTACCGCTTGTGGTGCTGAAACTTTACCCCGAGCTACACTCGGGAATACCGCCAGGGGGGTTAAAGATGATTTCCATGTATGGATATTTTTCCATACTTACATTGGTTAGCTTGCACTAATGGGAGTATGTACATACCACGGTTTCTCAGCTAGGGTTCCTTTAGAAGTTGCTAGGGGTTCCTTGAGCAATGAGCAATTTATGCCTCTCAGATAAGTTCCCGCTGACACTATTGACCTTTTTAACTATCTGTAAGGGGATAATTCTTCCCAATGACATCAAATGTAAGGAGCAATATTCCCACTGACCATCACACTAATGTATTATGAGTTGTAGATCTAGTAATTAGTAGAGCTGAGACCGTAACGTTATTTCAAAGGTTCCTCTGTGTTGGAATGGTTGAGAAAGGTGGATATATACCATACCTGTGGGATCTTTCTAAAAGCAGGAAATCACTATAAGAGGCACCACTACTACAGTGATCTCCACTAGCTTCTGGGTCCCATGCCGAGTGGCTGCCTTATTGTTTACTGAATACAGGAATTTGTCCAGTCGGCACAGGTGCCATTCACAGAATGCTTAGCATTTTCTCAATCCTTGCAAAGGGTTCTGTAATTGGACCAGGTGGAGAATCATGACATGCAGCCTCTTCACCTTGTCCAGCAGAGAATGCTTTGCGTTCATTGAGAAAATGTTAAGCGTTCTTTGAATGGTGCACAAGCACAAGCGAGTTCGAAGAAGCTAGTGGAGATCACTGTAGTAGCGATAGTCTACTACAGTAATTTCCAGCTACAAGGGAGATCGGCTACATATGGTATATACATAGATCCATTGCTCCAAGTTTAACCAATGTAACTATTTAAAAATATCCATGCCTGTTATTCACCATTAACAATTATTGGTGGCCATATCTGAGAAAGCTTGTTTGAAGCTCCACTCTGGAATAAAACTTACTTTTTTCCTACCACCCAAACCCCTCTAACTTATGCTGAGTCTTTTTTTGAATTCCTTGGTGTCAGGAATGGACTCACCACTGGTGGTGGGACTCACCTGCCGTGTGGGCTGCAGTACCAGGGCTGGCCAGCGGGTGCTCTCAGCAGCCAGAAGCTCACTCCTGCAATCAAGTCATCACCTGAGGCTGATTGCAGGAGGTGTATTTAAGGAGTGGCCAGGCCTGCAGTCAGTGCCTTGGTGCATTGTTTCCCTTGGCCCCTGTATCCTGATCCTGCCTGCTTGAATCCTGACTCTGCATGAACTCTGACTGTACCGACCTCGGCTATTCCTGACTACTCTTCCGCCTGCTCCTTGTACCTTGCCTGCCCGTTTGCTACCGACCCGGCCTGCCCGACTACGTTTAGCATTGTACTTATTGTTATCTGTTGGAGGTTTGGTTTGTTTGCACTGTGTTTATGTTTAGTCTTGCACTGCATTTATGTATTGTTTAATCTTTAATAAATTGTATTGTTTATACTATACCTGAAGCCTGCGTTTCCCTGTGTCAGTCCACACATCTCTGGTCATACCTGGAGCCCTGACACTTGGGCTACATTCATACTGTCGCATGTCTTCGGATTAACTTGCAGTGTGTAGAGGTGGCTTTTATTTGGCCCTGTAAATGTAGACTTATGTGGTAAAGCCAGCAATATTCACCTGTCCCCCGTCCAGGTCCCTTGCCACTGCCAGTTCTGGTGCAGGGGACCTCTAATCTAGCTCTGCAATGGTGCTCTGAGACCATTGACCCCCTATCATTCCCCTGTGATGACACCAGAACAGATTTCACCAGGACCCCGCTGATCACCATCAAATAGGAAGTGTCCACATCAGGCACGCTGTGATGTGGACACCCAAAGAAGGACCCTAGACAGGAAGTAAAAAAGATGTGAAGACTCAGAACTGAAGTGTCACCTGACCACATCTTAAGGTTTATAAAATGGACTTTAGATAGAGATTTTTTTTTAAACACCGCAATCAGGTGGGAGGGGGGGGGGGCAGGCATTTTTATCTTGGAGAGGGGCTTTAAATACAGTCTGAATTAAAAAATAAAGATTTCCTACATTATAGATAACATCTAGAAATGTTAAATGTGCCTGAACAGTACCCTGAAAGAATGCATCTTTTGTCTTGAATTCCACCTGAAAAATAGTGTTTTCTGTGCTTCATATCTGTATATCATTAGTGAGAGTTCACTTAGGACAGTGCTGTCTCTGACTGCTAGTCTTACCAGATTTGGAGTGAGATTTGGTGATATCTCTTCTGTTCTGTCAATGGTTCTCCTTGCTGGAGAGAAAGTTGTAGCTGAGGATTGGAAGTACAAGGATCTCCCTGCTTCCGCTTCATTGATTCTGGGGATCTGTGCTTCCTTCAAATCTCCTGCTACTTCTTGACTATATTTTCAGCAGTCATCATGTAACCACTGGGGCTAGGGTGTAGTTCTAACATGAAAAAGCAAAGCTCTGCCGCTACCAAAATGGCCACTCACTAAATGTTGAACAAGGCATGTAAAATCAGTAATGGCAAACAGACTGGTTGCAGAGAGGCAATACCAGTAATGCCCTATGCACATTGGGCACAGGTGTCCATCCAGCCCCACTGCTGGCAGCCTGTCAAACTATGAGAGGCTGAGAGCCGATATGTCATGATGGTGCACCTAGTGGTATGAATATACCAGGGACAATTTACAATGCCTTGAAAAAGTATTCATACCCCTTAACATTTTCCACATTTTGTCCTGTTACAACCAAAAACATAAATGTACTTTATTGGAATTTTATGCGATAGACCAACACAAAGTGGCACATAATTGTGAAGTGGAAGGAAAATGATAAATGTTTTCAAAATGTGTTACAAATAAATATCTGATAAGTGTGGCGTATATTTGTATTCAGCTCCCTTTACTCTGATACCCCTAACTAAAATCTAGTGGAACCAATTACCTTTAGAAGTCACCTAATTACAAAATAGTGTCCACCTGTGTGTCATGTGATCTCAGTATAAATACAGCTGTTCTGTGAAGCCCTCAGAGGTTTGTTAGACAACATTAGCGAACAAACAGCATCATGAAGGCCAAGTAACACACCAGGCAGGTCAAGGATAAAGTTGTGGAGAAGTTTAAAGCAGGGTTAGGTTATAAAAAAATAAGCAAACACTGCACATGGCCAGTGCCAGTGGCATCTCCAGTGGGGGGGGGGGGGGGGGCTTACACTGCGTTCCCATAACCCTGCAGCATCCAACATCTGTCATGCTGTATGTCTGTCAAAACTGTTAAGTCCACTTCCCCTAGTTTCCTCCTCAACTCTGACATGTCCAGATGAGGAGGAGCCTGGGATAAAGGACATTTCACAGATATTTGCCATGCTGCATATGAAACATAATGCTCATACATTTTTTTTGGGGGGGCTAGATGACCTTGTCCCGGCAACGGATGTAGCTAATTAAAAAATCCAAAGTAGGTAGATGATGTATTTATTTTTTAATACCATTGTAAATTTGTAGTTAGTCATGATCTACGAGAGCTCGAGCATTTCAAGGGATGAATCAACCAGTCTTCATGAGCGAGCTTTGAAAATTTTGACCAGTGGAAGTATGAATGTTTAGGAATGTTCTGCAAACTATTTTTTATATTAATTTCTATTCGGGTCTTTTGAAAATGATCTAAAAGATCATTTTTAATTAATTTCTTAGTTTATGTCATTAAAGATGAATTCAAATTATGGATTTTTTATACATTGCTCCAGATATGACTTTATTCTAGTAAAGGTCAGGGAGAGAATCAAAAGAGTATCCAACAAGATTCGGACATCATAAACTATCCCCTTCATCAGGACCTGAGAAAACAATGTGAATGGACTAGAAGTGAACTGGACCCTTAATGGTATTTCCTCCACTGTGATTGCAAAGTCTTAAAAGTTGCTTTGGCTACCAGTTTTGGACCCCCAAAATATGTCCTCTGAGGATCCTGAAGAGAGATGACATTAGACCGATGGGAATGAAATGGACTGGACAACGGGTTAACAAAGAATAGATTAGCAGGGCAAGCGGCATCAGTGAGGGACCTGGATAGGGGGACCCAGGTGAGTATAAATGGCTTCATCAGGTAAGGAAAACTTTACACCGGACAGGATATATTAGAGGGGGGTGGGAAAGAGGTATAGGCAAAAACAAAAATCAGTTTTAGGGGGTTGTTAGGCTTTAAAAGAGAGGCATGAAATACAGCTTAAGGTCTTCAAAGAAAGATGGGGTCACTGAGGAGGGAGTTTGACTTTGAAAAAAGGTCAAAAGTGGTTCATCAGATATACAAATGTTATTTTCATGATAAATAATTATTTTAGAGCAGAATATTTCCCAGTAAATGCTTTCTTCAAGGCACGTTGTACCTCTTGATTCCTCAGACAGTATATAACGGGATTGAACAGTGGGGTGAGAACACTGTACAAAATGGAAGATAGTCGTATGATATCAAAGGATTCCCCAGGCTTTGGACCAATGTAGTTGAAGTTGGCAGTCATGTAGAATACTGTAACTACAATGAGGTGGGAGGAGCAAGTGGAGAAGGCCTTTTTTTCTGCCCGCAGCTGAGTGGATTTTCAAAATGGTTGAAATGATCTGAATATAGGAGGCAATGACGAACACAAAAGGACTCATGCCGAGAAAAACACTGACTATGTAGAGTAACGTTTGGCTGGTGTGAGTATCCGCACAAGAAGCATTCAACATTGGTGGAACATCACAAAAAAAGTGGTTTACATGCCGATTCCTACAAAAAGTCAGCTTGGATGTCAAAGCCGTGTGAAGAACAGAGTTCAAGAATCCAAAAAACCAAGATCCTACAACCAAATAGGAACAGAATGTCTTGTTCATGACTACGGGGTAGCAAAGAGGGTCGCATATTGCCACATATCGGTCGTAAGCCATTGCAGCCAGAAGAAGACATTCAGACCCACCAAGAGAAACAAAAAAATAGAGCTGAGTAAAGCAAAGGTTGAAGGACACTCTTGTATTGCCTGTTATGGCATTAATCAACATAGCCGGGAGGGTAACAGAAGAGTAACAGACATCTAATATGGATAAGTAACTGAGAAAAAAGTACATAGGTGTTTGAAGATGAATGTCAATCTTGATGACACTAAAGATGGTGAGGTTTCCAACTAGAATCATAGTATAAGTCATAAGGATCATCAAGGAAAGTAAAAGCTGCTCATTCGAAAATCCTAACAAGACAAAGCCACTAAAAAAAGTCTGGTTTGCCATTGCCATCGCATCTTGAATCAAAATTTAAGAATCGTATAATTATTTTTAAGAGCTTAATTCAATTTTGGAGATTTGGTTTTGGTCCAACTGTTAGGAATTATTCCTCACTGCTGGTGGTTGTCCAGCCTCCTGTAAAAAAGAAACAATGTAACCAGTCAGCATGTTAGGCCCAGGTTGGTCCAAATCACCCATCTACTGGAGCGCCTTAGGGTTCATTAGGTGTAAATGAGCATACGGTGTAGCTAGTATGGTGATTGTCAAAAGAGATGGGAGGTCTAATGTCCACTCTATACAGCTATTTGTGAAACTTTATTTGGCATGTTGTTTTGACTTTGCCGATTGCATGTTCCTTGCAGTTTTGCTTTGCCCATGTACCAGTGGTTCTTTAGGGTTGGACTGCTGTACGATGATCATAGTCCATTTAAAACTAAGGGTTAGGTATGGCAATTTTTACATAGTTACATTTGTCCAGCTTAGGCCAACGTAAGTATGGACACACACCTGTGGGATTCCCGTGGAAGCTGGAAATCCCTGTTGTAGGCACTGCTACTATAGTTATTGCTGATAATTCCTGGGTCTCGTGTCAAGGGGCTTCTCTACTGCATTGTGACTACAAGAGGTTGCTTGCTTGGCACATGCACCATTCTGGGGACAATTTGCATTGTCTCAGCGAATACATAGTGTTCTCTGATTGGGCAAGGTGCAGAGGTTGGGCAGTGATATTGCAATCTCTGCCTTGTCCAATTAGACAAGGTACATCCATTGAGAACATACAACATACAATGTGTTCCCTGAATGTTGCCCATGCTGAGCATGTGACCTCCTGTGTTTAGTAAACAGCAGTGCAGCCACTCAACACAGGACCTGGAAGGCAGTGGAAATCGCTGTAGTAGCAGTGCCTATTGCTGGGTGTCCAGTGCGTCCCTATACCTTTAAGGAAAGGTGGGTTCCCTCCAGGCATACTTGCCCTTTATCTTCCATTATTATGTACATTCACTGGCCTCTCTATTGGGTACACTTGTTCTCAAACAACCACTCGTTACAACCAAGGTATGCAGAATACCATCTCTGAGCTCACAACATGTCGAACCTTATTGCAGATAGGCTACAGCAGCAGAATACCACTCCGGGTGCCACTCCTGTCAGCTAAGAACAGGAAATGGAGGCTACAATTCACACAGGCTCACCAAAATTGGACAATAGAAGATTGGAAAAAAGTTATCTGGTCTGATGAGTCTGGATTTCAGTTGCAATATTCAGATGGTAGGGTCAGAATTTGGCGTAAGCAACATGAAAGCATGGATCCATCCTGCCTTGTGTCAGCGGTGCAGGGTGGTGGTGTAATTGTGTGTGGGATATTTTCTTGGCACACTTTGGGCCCCTTAGTACCAATTGAGCATTGTTTAAACTCCATGGCCTAACTTAGTATACTTGCTGACCATGTCCATCCCTTTATGACTCCAGTGTCCCCACCGTCTGATGTCTCCTTCCAGCAGGATAACGCACCATGTCACAAAGCTCAAATCATCTCAAACTGGTTTCTTGAACATGACAATGAGATCACTGTCCTCCAATGGCCTCCACAATCACCAGATCTCCATCCCATAGAGGACCTTTGGGATGTGGTGGAACGGAAGATTCACATCATGGATGTGCAGCTGACAAATCTGTAGCAACTGCGTGATGCTATCATGTCACTATGGACCAAACTCAACTCAACCTTGTTGAATCTATGCCACCAAGAATTAAGGCAGTTCTGAAGGCAAAAGTGGGTCCAACCCGGTACTAGCAAGGTGGACCTAATAAAGTGGCCGGTGAGGGTACAAGATTTCCTGTAAATGTGCAACACAATTTTGTTCTGGCAACAAAACGGGAAGTCCCCTAACTGCTGCTGAGCACAGCGTTGTATACTGTATGTAGCTGATGCTATATACAGCGCTGACAGCGGCTGCATTTCTTAAACTGGAACATTAGTCAAAAAATTAAATCCTGTTAGATCACTTCAGGCTGACCCCTTTTGCAGGTATAGCTATGTAAAACATTCAAATATACCGTGTAAAATCCAGTAAAACACTGTTTCTCCTGCTCTGCACATACTCAGATGCTCTCTATTTTTAGGCACTATTCCAATAATGTAGAGGCCGATCTGCTAATGATTTACTGCTGCTCAGGGCTCTTGGCTTCAGATGTGGTGGAACGGGAGATTCGCATCATGGACATGCAGCCGACAAATCTGCAGCAACTGTGTGATGCTATCATGTCAATATAGACAAAAATCTCTGAGGAATGTTTCCAACACCTTGTTGAATGCTAGGAAGAATTAAGGCAGTTGGGGGCAGTTCTGAAGGCAAAAGGGGGTCCAACCCGGTACTAGCAACGTGTACCTAATAAAGTGGCCAGTGAGTGTATGTGCTCCAACTTTGGAGACACTCAAAATATATAGAGTTAGGACTGCAGTACCCTTGGGTACCGTGACGTGGCCTCTGCAGCTTGCACATATATTTGCAAATGTGTGCAGACTAAACCCTGTGCACTGTTAGGGTTAATACGGTTTGTTGCAGGCTGGCCGGTAAGTAAGCTGGGAATTTTTTATAGTTTTTTTCACATGCGTCACCCTTCCATGTGCTCCTTGCTCCTATGGCAAGTTAAAGGTTGGGGTGGTTGCCATTTGTTTATACTACTCCCCTATTCCAATGACCTCCATTACCTTCCAAGTCCCCATGCCAAGAAGCTGCCCTGCTTTTTACATAACGCAGGAGTTCTCCACGCAGTCACCATTCAGAGAATGCTTTGCATGTTCTCAATGAATGCAAAGTTTTCTTTATTGGACAAGGTGGAGATTGTGATGTCACCACCCTGCCTCTCTAATTTGTCATATTGGAGAATGCTTTGCATTCAGGGGCGGACTGACAACTCATGGGGCCCCCGGGCAATAGGGGATCATGGGGCCCCTGTGTCCTTGTCCAAATTCAAAAAAGCCTATGAAAAAGGTACCAGGGGCATCTCATGGGGCCTCCTACTGACCTAGGGCCCTCGGGCAGTGCCCGAGTTTCCAAATGGTTAGTCCGCCCCTGTTTGCATTCATCAAGAAAGTGCAAAGTGCTCCCTGAGCAAGCGACCTCCTGTCCTCCTGGGAACTAGTGGAGATCACTGTAGTAGAAGGGCCCACTACATTGATTTTCAGCTTCCAGGAGCATTGCCAGGTGTGGTATATGCATTAGTACGTTGATCCAAGCTGGACCAATGTACAGTGAGGAACAGAAGTATTTGAACACCCTGCGATTTTGCAAGTTCTCCCACTTAGAAATCATGGAGGGGTCTGAAATTCACATTGTAGGTGCATTCCCACTCTGAGAGACAGAATTAAAAAAAAAATTCAGGAAATCACATTGTATGATTTTTAAAGAATGTATTTGTCTTGCACTGCTGAACAGAAGTATTTGAACACCTGAGAAAATCAGTGTTAATATTTGGTACAGAAGCCTTTGTTTGCAATTACAGAGGTCAGACGTTTCCTGTAGTTCCTGACCAGGTTTGCACTGCAACAGGGATTTTGGCCGACTCCTCCACACAGATCTCCTCTAGATCTGTCAGGTTTTGGGGCTGTCGCTGAGCAACACGGAGTTTCAGCTCCCTCCAAAGATGTTCTATTGGATTTAGGTCTGGAGACTGGCTAGGCCACTCCAGAACCTTGATATGTTTCTTACGGAGCCACTCCTTGGTTATCCTGGCTGTGTGCTTCGGGTTGTTGTCATGTTGGAAGACCCAGCCACGACCCATCTTCAATGCTCTGACTGAGGGAAGGAGGTTGTTGCTCAAAAATCTCACAATAAATGGCCCCCCCCATTCATCCTCTTCTTAATACAGTGCAGTCGTCCTGTCCCCTTCGCAGAAAATCACCCCCAAAGCATGATGTTACCACCCCCATGCTTCACAGTAGGGATGGTGTTCTTGGGATGCAACTCATCCTTCTTTTTCCTCCAAACACGACGAGTGAAGTTTAGACCAAAAAGTTCTACTTTGGTCTCATCTGACCACATGACTTTCTTCCATGCCTCCTCTGGATCATCCAGATGGTCATTGGCAAACCTCAGACGGGCCTGGACATGTGATGACTTGAGCAGGGGAACCTTCCGTGCAATGCATGATTTGAAACCATGACGGCGTAGTGTTCTACTGACAGTGACCTTTGAAACTGTGGTCCCAGCTCTCTTCATGTCATTGACCAGCTCCTCCCTTGTAGTTCTGGGCTGATTCCTCACCTTTCTTATCATCAGTGATACCTCATGAGGTGAGATCTTACATGGAGCCCCAGTCTGAGGGAGACTGACAGTCATCTTTAGCCTCTTCCATTTTCTAACAATTGCTCCAACAGCTGATCTATTTTCACCAAGCTGCTTGGCAAATGCCCCGTAGCCCTTTCCAGCCTTGTGGAGGTCCACAATTTTTTCTCTGGTGTCTTTTGACAGCTCTTTAGTCTTGCCCATGGTAGTAGTTGGCGTCTGACTGACTGTGGGGTGGACAGTTGTCTTTAAAGAGCTCAGACAGGTGCTACTAAGTTAGATTAATGAGTGGAGTCGAGGTGGCACAGTAAAGGCACAGTAACAGGTCTTTGAGACCCAGAATTCTTGCTGTTTCTTAGGTGTTCAAATACTTATGTTCAGCAGTGCAAGACAAATACATTCGTTAAAAATCATACAATGTGATTTCCTGAAAGATTTTTTGTTTTAATTCTGTCTCTCAGAGTGGGAATGCACCTACAATGTGAATTTCAGACCCCTCCATGATTTCTAATTGGGAGAACTTGCAAAATCGCGGGGTGTTCAAATACTTCTGTTCCTCACACTGTAACTATGTAAAAATTGCAATACCGAAACTTTAGCTTAGCTGAACAGCCAGCTTCTGTCAGAACATCTGCCCTACAAACG